CAACATTGGTTGCTTTGTTCAATGCTATATGCATTTACTGACTATCCAGTACCGAAGATAAAGGATGATTTTTTACCCAGTTTACCTTTATTAAAATTGTCCTGTGTATTTAAGCACTTAAATTAGTTTACGTCTGTTTCATACTATTATACACACATACTAAGTGGAGTATAAAAAAACATGACTGCGTTTTCATGTTTCTGAAGTTGTGATAAACAGATGAAGTGCATGTGAGTGTTCAACTGCTCTAGAAGTGGAATTTTAGCACCAGCTTCAAGAGCTGCAATGTTATCTAATCCAAATGATGGTCTCCTTTAAGATAATCCACTTTCAATGACAGTGCAAGGCTCTTATCCAAAAGCAATTGCTTATTTATTTACCCATGCACACATGCCTTTCACTCCCTGTGTGGGAGAATAGATTGACAGGGCTATCAATGGGTATTAAAACTGCTATTGCATGTGCTAAACACCAGCATCTTGCAAGCCTATCAGGTTTCACTTTTTCGAAGAAAAAAAAATGTTCTCACCCCTCTGGGTGGTATATTTGATCCTCGTTCTCAGCCCTCTACCAGAGGCTTGGAAGTATTTTAGCTGTTCCTAGAACTGTACTCTTGTGGACAAAGATCTCTAGCAATCCCACCTAGAATCTGCTGAATCCACTCTTCCAAATTGAGCAATAGGACTCTAGAAACCAACTAAAATGTAGCTATTAGATGTCCAATCATTTCATTCCTTTTTTATTATTATTATTTATTTTATAGATAACCAGCAGGTTCCCTAGCACTGTACAATATAATAGGTTTACAGACAAGTTGATATGCTTACAATTATATAGTTCCACTTAAACTATGAAGCTGTTCTGGCACAGTGTGGTATTCAGAACCCTGTACGTAGTTTGTAAATGCGCATGTTGATGCTTATAATCATCCAAGTACCTGTATATTCCCACAGCATGTGAAATGGCATCATCAGATTATATACAGTTACCACACAGGTGGGAGGGGTAAAAGTGTCAAATGCAATTTGCATCCTTGGCTCTGCCCAAAGAATCTAGGACCCACCCAGCTGGATCCACCTGTAGAACCGAAGGGTCAGTCTGGTGTGAATGTGCGCTAGGTTGCCGTCCAATAAAGTAGGCCAGCCCACTTAAGGTAGACCATGCAGTGCTCTCTGCAGGGTCCTAATGCCATGAGTGTGTGCAAGTGTGCCTAATGGTGCGCTTATGCTATGCTTGTTGGGGTCAGTTCCATGGTGTCTCCAAAAGCAGGACATCTGAGAACAGAGTGGCGATTGCGGGACAGGACACGAAGATGGTGCTGTCCCGACAAAATTGGGGTGGTTGGCAGGCCTGAAAAAGTGCCAAGGGCTTTTGTTCCAGATGCATGGAATCTTGGAAAAGCCTTGGTCAATAAGAGGTTAGGATTAATATATCTCCTCCCTCCCATTCTCCCCTAATTTAACTAAATGAGCACTGTTTGCACATGAGCAATACAAACTAATTCTAAATATCAGATTTGAGAACAATGGAAATGAGAATCACAGAAACTCGTACAGATTTGACAGTTTTAATTTTTTAATTTTGAAGTGAAGGAAATACTACTGATGTGTGCACCTTGCATATGTGAGCACTACTTCTTTCATTTCTATACCATATATGTGAATAGATTTTCCAGATCATAGCCTAGTGATTTCCTTATTCTTAGTTATCATTTTATACTTTATATACATGATCCAAAAAACTGTCTAGTGAACCCACTCTGGAGGACCTTTTTACATGTGTTTATAGATAGGTAGGCCCTGATACTGATTCAATGGTAGATGTATAACATGTTCTCTTCAATAATTTATTTATATATAAAGTATTTTACCAGGAAAGATTTCTCTCATTTTCAGGTAGGTCCTGGGCCAACAAACATTGCATTGTTACAATAGGGTACAATATAATATTAAAATTCCAAAATAATATTAAAATACACATATAGAAATTTAACACAGAACAGGTAAGGAATATAATCAGACATGATTACAGGTGCATTCTGTATTGAGATATATGGACAGAGATCTCCTAAAGGGTTTTAGACTGGAGAAAGATTTGATTGTGTCTGTGAGGTTATTCCATAATTGCGGTGCTATGTACGAAAATAAGGTTTGTGCCATTTTATTTTTGTATTGCGGTATACTAAATAACGTGTTGGTACTGGATCGGGGGTTATAAGGGTGGGAACAACTGGGGAGAGCGTTCTACTCAGGTAGGGTGGGAGCTTGCCAGAAAAGCTTTTAAACATAAGGCTGGAAAGATGAAAGGTGCGTCTGGATTCCAGTGATAGCCAGTTTAGCTCTTTGAACATGTAACAATTGTGGATCATTTAATTACATTGTAGCACTGAGCGGCAGAGTTATACAATGTAGTAAGTTTAGGAAGGTGGATTTGTGGTGCAGGTGCATACACTACATCCCCATAATCTATGTGTTGTACAATCTGTTTTTACTGTGGGACTTAGGCAGAGTTTGTTTTTTGTGCAGGGCACCTAGTTTTGGATAAACTTTTGATGAGAGTTTTACAATGTGGAGGCCAAAAAATAGATTGGGGTCTAGCAACATACCTAGATATTTGAAAGAATGTTCTGCGATCAGTGTGTTATTTGATTTTATTCTGATACATAGCTGGGAGTTCTGTAATTTATGCAATTTAGGTACTGTTCCAAAGATCATTGTGACAATTTTATCAGTGTTTAGGAAACTTTTATCTGTGATCTACATTTCTGTCTCTGTAAACTGGTTTTGGAGCACACCCTCAAACTGTGGTAGATTTGGTATACTTGTGTAGATTACGGTGAAAATGTGCAATATTGTAGGCTCACAGTGTCCCATTCTAAACAGCTAACTAAGCCATAATACCTGCAAAGGGTTTCTGAGCCTTTAAATGGTCTCTCAGTCTGGTTCAGCAGGAATCACAATCATGGGGAAGACTGCTGACCTGACAGTTGTGCAGAAAACCATAATGGACACCCTCCATAAGGAGGGAAAGCCTCAAAAGGTAATTGCGAAGGAAGTTGGATGTTCCCAAAGTGCTGTATCAAAGCACATTAATAGAAAGTTATGTGGAAGGGAAAAGTGTGGAAGAAAAAGGTGCACAAGCAGTAGGGATGACCGCAGCCTGGAGAGGATTGTCAGGAAAAGGCCATTCAAAAGTGTTGGGGACTTTCACAAGGAGTGGACTGAGGCTGGAGTCAGTGCATCAAGAGCCACCACAAAAAGACGGATTCTGGACATGGGCTTCAGATGTTGTATTCTTCTTGTCAAGCCACTCCTGAACAACAAGCGTCAGAAGCGTCTTACCTGGGCTAAAGAAAAACAGACCTGGTCTGTTGCTCAGTGGTACAAAGTCCTCTTTTCTGATGAGAGCAACTTTTGCATCTCATTTGGAAATCAAGGACCCAGAGTCTGGAGGAAGAATGGAGAGGCACACACCGCAAGATGCTTGAAGTCCAGTGCGAAGTTTCCACAGTCTGTGTTGATTTGGGGAGCCATGCCATGTCATGTCACGATCGTAACCCGGAAGTGTGAAAGGGCATAAACAGTGTATACGTATACACGTCACCCGCGGCCCTTTCACACTTCCGGGTTATGATCGTTTGGGGAGGTTCTATGCACTGCACCTGGTAAGCAATTATTTTTATTTCTTATTGTTTTACACATTGTTCTGACCTTGATAAAGACCTGAATAGGTTGAAACGTTGATCTGCTGAATTCTGAATATATGGACACAGTAAACTGAACACTTTTTCAAATCCAGGAGTGCGCCTTGTTATTCTTATTACATATTTTTTCGCTGGTTTTGCGCCCTGGTATGTACTTGTAATTTTTTCATCGAAAGGTAGAGTGACAAATGTATTCCTAATTATATAGATATATAATATAAAAACACAAATACATTATATATAGTTATGTGAATGTGTAACTACACCCTTTGTTTGTGTGAGGTAAATTTGGAAAGAAGTGTGTAATGCAGCCCCTTTGTATGCATTTATCTTAATTGTGTTTAGTTACCTTGGTTTGTTAATATATTTGTGTTTAAATCCCTCTCTGTTGAGCGTGTTTTTATTTACTCTGCCTCATCTGTATCAAAGAGAATAGATATGAGAGTGATCCCTCTGTCCCACACCCAATTCTGTACTCAGTGTAGGGCTGTGCATAGCTGATACATTACTCACTATGTCAAGCTCGATGTAATTTGTGTACATGTGTGGCTATCCCCTCACACCCCTGTCATAGTAACATGTTTTGGGCTGTGTGAGTCCATGTGACTTGTTCCCTCTATGATATGTAGGGCTGTGTTATTGTGACCCTCTGCGCCAACCACCCCCACCTACTGACAATAGCCCTATTCTTCTAGCTCGCTCTCTTGTAGCTGGAAGCGATTTTAGGACAACCCCATGTTATGACAACGGGTTATGTTTACTGAAGGAGGAGCATGATCAACAAGGGGTTAATTAGACACACCCCATAAACCAGAATTAACCCTGTGCATAGTTATCTATAGAAAAGAAAAGTAGGCTGGGACTTCCCATAACGTAATACACAGGACGTTATCTAACATGGATTTATGAGATAAGAGTGCATGTACAGAATTCAACATAAATCAAGAAACTGTGGGGGTTATGTATAAAGGGGAAGTCTGGGGCATTGCTAAAAGTGGAGTTGTCATGGCAACCATTGGAATGTTCCCTGCTGATTGTTTCACTTTTAGAACTTTGCAGAAGAATTATTGTGTACACATATTCCCTAGTAAGTTTCAATCTCCTTAAACTCTTCACGGTATGTGTCCAAATCGTTTATCTATAGATTAATTAAGTCTATCTTTACCTCTACAACCAGTCTATGTGTCTTATTCATTGCTCTATCTAATCTCCATCTATCTACGCACACAGTGAACCTTCCCCAGACTCTGTCTGCAGAGCAGGCTACAAACTGACCGCATTCTCCGAGCTGTGTGAGGTTTTGGGGGCCCTAGGTGCTGGGAGTTGCAGTCCCCCTGTGGTGCCAGGTGCTGTGTCGTGTCCTGGCTGGGCACTAGGGGGCGGTGTAGCGCAGAGGGGATAGGCCCAGTGGTCCCAGTCCAGGTCCTGGTGTTCCCGGTGTACCAGGTGTGCCCGGCTCCACCCCGGGGGCTGGAATGCGGAAGCAGCGGGTGCGGGAGGAGGAGCCCGGGGAGACAGAGCAGGGAGATACCCGGAGACATAGACAGAGCCCGGGACACGGGGGGAGACCGGAGACATATCCCCGCCGGGACACGTGGAAGTTGCCCGGAGGCCAGTGATTTGGAGAGGATAGTGCAGCCGGTGCCGCGGGCTAGCAGTGCCAGTCCCACCATGCCACCCACCCTGTGAGCCATGTCTGCCGAGACCGCCCCACCCCCGGACCATGATACCGTGCCCCCTGCCCCGGACCCGGGCACTGCGGAGCCCAAGAAGAAGAAGCACAAGGCGGGCACTCTGCGGCGGGCACTGAGCTGGCTCCGCGGGCGAAGCAAGAAGAAGAAGCCAGAGGTCAAACAGCAGCAGGAGGGCAAAGGTAACGGGCACCTGCCACTAGTAATGCCAAGTACTGTACATACTGAAGGTGATAATGCCATCCATATGTACCTACACAGCCCTGCCCTGTGTTTAGAGTGCGCAGAGAAAGTTCCCTGCAGGCACACTCCTTTAGTTTAAGCAATGACCAATCAACAAATATACAACTCCTATTATGCTCTGCCAGTTAGGCTATCAGGAAAGTTGTACATTTGTAATAGTAAGGCTTTACCTCGTTGAAAGCCCTTGTTGTCATATTGTTACAAATGGCCTCTTTGCAAAGTGAAACAGGTTGAGCTGCTTTCTGATGGCATGTGTCTGGAATTATGTATAATTCAGTTCGGATATGTTGCCCTGGTGGCAGGGAGAGTTGATGATGTATGAGCAGCATATGTTAAGGCAGGAATGATACAGAATGCAACTGCTGCAGAACCTCTTGTGTATTAGCAATGTTCCTTTCGATCATTCTGGACCTTATTTCTAATGAAAGACAATGGACTTTGGCTTTAGTGTGCATGTCAGTCAGATATGGGACAGATCTGTACTTTGGAGCTGCACTCAAGAATTTGAGTGGAAGGCTGCCATTGTTTTTGATGTTGAAATTAAGGTCACTGTTTAATCGATGTGGCAAAGTTATATAATGCATTCCACCTTGCAAATAGGGATGGGCGACTAGTTGCATTTCAGGTTCTGCGGACTGCAATTATCATCATGCATGTCCAATCTTTGTCAAAGTTTTACAGATGTATTATATAGCAACCATATGTACAGTTATTTTGTAGAGTTTTAGATCTTAGAGGAAATTATAGTCAAGTGGGGTTTTGAAACACACACCAAGATACATGGGTATTCCTGTTTAGACTTAGTATAGAATTAGTTTTCAGACCTTCGCAGGGTTATTAGCTAAACTCTGAAGTGAAGCAAATTTTTTTACAATTTGAAAAATTAGACAAAAACGTCTGATCTTGAAAAAATCTCTAATTCGTCTATAGTCAAAGCTTTGCTATTTCTTTTTCCATTCTCTACAATTCGGAGTTTAGTGAATAAATACTTAAGTGATCATTTTTATTACTTGTTATATTTTTTTTTTTCTTCTCATAGGGCTTTCTGAATCGGGTTCCTTTAAATTATTAAGCCCCTGTATGTTTTTTGGGGGTTTTTTTTAGGTCGTGAAATATTAGTTTGCTTGCTGTTACATGTTAGTTTGTGTGCTGGTTCATATTACTGTACATGACTGTACGTATTGCTTGTCACGTTGCCATAAATTACTTTACTATTTGCAAAATACAGCTCTATATTTTGATATGCATTAGTTTAAGTGGTAATCAATATGCATTACTCATTTGACTTTATTTATATTTCATGTGCGCCCGTAGGTGGTTATTTAGAAAAGCAGTTCTAAAACAAAAATGGAGCAATCGGCAGGAACATTGTGCTGGTTTCTATGGTGATTGCTTCACAATTGAACTTTATAAATAACCCACCTAACTTAGCATCTAGGTATAGACTTATTTGGCATTCATTACGTATAGGTAGATGTAAATGCAAATCCAAATAATGAGTATTCGTTAATAAAAGAATGTCTTCAATTTCAACTTTTGTCCATAGCAGCTGGTAGCAAGGCCCCTAGGCATGTGTCAGGCCTCAACTCATTGGATTTTTACACAATACTAATTTGTAGCACACTGAGCTATAGAGATACTTTCATTTTTTTCCTTATTGGTATTTAGAAGGAAGGGAGAGATGCTTGAAATTATGTGTGTTCAAATCTGTTTGACACAAGCAACACATATTTAAAGTTTGTTTCAAAATATACTCCTGTAGGAGTTTTCACCTAGTTTACATGGTGTATTGGGTTATTATAAACTGTGCATAATATTGTTCTTGGAGTTAGCTGTTTTTGTCAAATTAGGTACCCTGCCTTTTAGTAGTATTAGATTATCATTGGCCTTAATGCGTGTGTTTTTGTATATTTGAATTTTAAAATTTTTAATATTAAACTCCCTCCCCTACCCACTCCCTTTCTCAATTAACATAAGTAAAACCACTTCATTCTTATGCAGGGTACGTTTCTTTCTTCTTCTTTTTTTTATTTTTAATTATTCTTATTTTTATTTATTTTTTATAGTAATCTTTGGCTGTGATGGGGTTGGTTAAGCAAAGGTTTGCTCTACAGTTGCCACGGTAATTGGGCCACAGACCATCAGTCAGAAGCAGGGATCTCAAACTCTACCCTCCTAGATGTTGATGGCCTACAACTCCCAGAATTATTTGAGTGCAGTACATGGCTAAAGAATCTTGGGGGTTGTGGTTCAAAAACATTTAGAGGCGGGTGAAGTTTGAGATGCCAGGTCAAAAGAATCCCACAGAAGGACTGGGGACAACAAAATGGCTGTGCCCAGGTATTGAGCATTGGCACAAGTAAGAAAAGTTAAAAATAAAACAGGCAACATGTATTACTGTAAAGTGAAAGTTTACAGACAGCGTTTCCATCAGGCACCCCAGTTGAACAACTACAACACATTTGATGAGTTGCCTGTCTTATTGTTGGCAGAGAATCATGGGAGTTGTCGATATGAAAGTCAGGACTACTGATTGGATGGCCACCCCCTTGACTTTACAGCATACAGTAGACATTGACACAAAGAAGCAGAGATTTTTATGTGCTCTGTTTGTAAAAATCCTGCTCATACCAGTATTGTGACCTTGGTGTGATAGTAGCAATGGTAATGGTATCTTTTAAATGCATTCCACTGTGTATGTATATGGCGTTGGCTATATAAGTAAGTAGACATTCAGCAGAAGTACATACAGTGCACGCATGTCATTGTGCATATGTGATATGTTTTTGATTCCTGCCTGTTTCCTATATTTTTTAACATGACACACAATCACTTTCCTTCCTGTATGTGTTACACACCCTTTTTCCCGGAGCTGTGTGTCACACTCTTTGGTGATATCATGAGGCTGATCTGCTAGAATATGTTCCTTGCTAACCACAATATATTTTTCACTCATTCAAAGTCACTTTTATGATATACCCGCATATGTTCTTGTGTACTGGAATTGCATGATACTCTCTTTCCAGCATCTATGTACTGAGTTTGTTTAGTGATCTTCAGATAACAGAGTTTGCAATATGCGGGTTGTGTAATATTGCTAGGGTTAGATTCTATTTACTGTATTCAAACTAGTATACAGTGTTCACCTACAGAGAGTTAATTTAGTTTCTTTGCTACTTGCATGGAATTTCTAACCTCCATCATGTGCAAACATCCATACTATAATTTAATTCTTGGCCTGTTGGCTAAAGTCACCAGATTAGTGTGTTTGTGTTGTGCTTTTTTTTTCTTTTCTTTTAATAAAGCATTTTAATTATAATGAGCAAACTATAACAAAGACCCCCTCCCCATTAATGTGAAGTAGCCACGCAGTAAATATTTTTTCTATGTCGCAGAATACAGCATGGTTTGGTTGGTTTATAGTTGTTGCGGCCCTCAAGGCCTAAAATTGCTAACTCTCATTAACTGTCTGTTTCAAAACCCTCATAAGATCAGCCTGACTCAGCTGTAACATGTCTGTGTTTGCAGGGTAGCTAGAGAAAACCTTACAAAGTACAAAGGTGGCTACGTTCTTTCAGAATGCCACAGGGCTTGCTAACATTCCTTGCTGTTTGAGAAATGGGTTATTCTGCGTGTATGTTACATTGTTTGCATTTTACTGAAAGTTTGTATGAACACTTTTCATAGAGTTTGTGGCACTGCGTTATATATGTTTTTATTGCTAGAGAAATCTAAAGTGGCAATATATCACACATGGATCATAATATTACCTGGGACCACCTACAGTGGGCTAAAGTGAATTGCAAATTTTAGGCCAGAATAGTTGAGTTCGGATAAATATCTCTGACTCTTCATTAACTGCGTTGGTGATTTTATTTATTTTGTATTTTCTTTGTAGGTGTGTTTTAATAATTTGTTTCCTCTCCATGAAGAATGGAGCAGACATATTATTTTCTTTTATACTGTACTGTTCATCATTTTCAACCTGTCTCCAATCAAATCTAGTGTTACATCCCAGCACATGCCATAAAAGACGTGGTTTCTGTTCCTTTTTAGCCCACAAAGCTATATGGAGAGAAGCAAAGTAATACAATTTCTATCCCAATGATAATTGTTACATAGCCCTCTGCAAGTACCCCAAACATTGCTAGTTCAGGAAACTTGTCACATAATGCTAAGTGGATTAATCAGTGTCATACTGCGAGGTCCACCTCACCTTGCAGTATGACACCTTGTAATGGGCCAGCTATCTATGCTCGTAAAAATACAATCACCAGCAGTGTCCCTATAAGAAATTACTGCATATTTTATTTGTCTGTGTATATTTTCATTATTCATTGTGTCCTGGGAAAATGGTGTGTGTGTGTATATATATATATATATATATATATATATATATATATATATATATATACACAACATGCATGTATATGAATTAAGCTCCAGTGCAGTTTATGCATTCATCATTGCAGCAAATGTTCACAGTTCCACGGAAGAATTTTCATCTTATTTAAGTAACTGGTTAGCCAAATACATGTAGTATATACTTGTGTAAAAGTGCAGTGTTAAATACATCTTAATAATTGTGGTTTGGGTCAAATAGTATCCACTTTAAATAACTCTTATAGGTATTTTTTTTTTTTTATCAATGCTGACATTCTTATACAGTACACTGTGTCTCCAGAGTGAACATACGCAAGGAAGCTGTATATTGTAACTGTGTTCAGGGACTTGGTTCACCCTATCTGTGTGCTTAGTTCAGGGACATGGGCTGTGGTTTTGTCTGTGCCCACTGATGTTTTGGGATCCTGGAATCACATTGTGCTGACGTTGTACATTCAAACCCGTGACATTAAAGCCTTGTGTCCTCCAGGCAGTCAATGAGTCATTGCAATATGTAAACAATAAACTTGCTCCTATTTATTAAGATTTAAGATGGCTTTATCCAGCATAATGTTTGTCACATACCCCTCTCCTTCCATTCACTGGCAGTGACCTTGCTTTGAATTTGTCAGGCCCAAAGTTGATTGTATTTGAAGCACTGCAAACTGTTCAAGTTTTAGTACCCCATTCATTCCTAGTGCTGTATATTTGCAGCAAGATATGACATCCTTTGCTCATGACCAGATGCCCAAATAGTATGTGTCATTATTTTGTTTACAGGTGTTTCGAAAGCTGATGGCGACCCTCCGCCAATACCAACTCTAGAAGATGAGCACCAGGACAATCTCTTCTTTCCCACCGGACGCACACCTGTCCTGGAGGAAATCCATAACCAGGCTCAGGAAGGGCTAAAATCTTTACAGAGAAGGGGTAAGGGAGAGTGTCTCCAAGTTTTGTTACTCTGTGTTCCATATACTTATCATTGACAAACTATTTCTTTATCACAGACAAACCATTCATTTTTATTTCTTCCAGAGAAACAACATGGCCACTCTACTGCCTCCCAGGATGAGAACAAAAATCCCCAGGTCAGTGTGATAGACGGCGAGCAATCATTGATTGTGTCGATTATACAGATTTGTCTGCTCTACTTCTAGTCCCTGAATACAGGGGGAAGTCCCATTACTTTAATTTTTAATACATTTTAATGTGATAGTTTGGCAGCCACTCTTCCACCTCAGACATTCCAAATCTTTTACAGAATGAAAGTTTGCTGTGATTTTTAAAGGGATAATGACCTTTTATTTCAATGTTTTTTGGCTTTTATGTGAAATCAATATAGCAGACTTAGACTTAGTATGCAGGGAGTGTCAGGGAAACAATGAAGCATGGCAACAATGCACAGGATAAAATGGTGTGTGTGTGTATATATATATTTATCTTGGCATCTATGAGCTTTAAACCACCTCAAGGGGTTGGTAGAACAGGTGTGATCCCCAAATAGCACTAGTTGAATACTCTCTCCATTTGATCAATAGTTTTTAATCCTATGGCTGTCATGAAGGTTCAACCTGTGTTTGCTGTGCCCATTATTGTCTTTAATGTCCTTATTATTTCCAGAGTGAGTACCAACTTTGAGAGTCCTAATCCATACCACGGAAATATGCCACCTTGTGTAATGATTATTTAATTTCTAAACCACAACACATTCTTTAAAGCAGTGCAATGGTAAAAAAAACTTTTATGTAAACGATGATGCGCAACCAAAGTTACAGCTTGTCTGCAGAACATCATTGCCATGACGAGATCAGTCGGTACATCGCTCACTTTAATACTCCATTTCCCACGAGCTTACTCAGGATGTTGTGAGAATTTGATCATGATTAACCTTTTAGTCCTTACAATAAGGAATGTCTGAATTCTCTCCTTTCTTTCTTAATGTTATGACTATACCGTTAATTTACTGTAATAAATTATGACCTCACTGCTCATTGTGTTGGAAAATCTGTCACACAATAGTGTTTTGTCACATTGTAAATTTAACATACTAATCTGTATTGGTAGTTGCTGACTATTTGAATATAAAATTGACAATTTGAAATTAAATGTTACTCGTGTTTCTGTACAGCAAATGGATTGTAATGGAGAACTGTACACCCAGATATTTCTTCTTTAAAAATTTTTAATAAATATTTATACATATCTCCTTATTTCACCATAATGTCAGCTCACTTCTTTCTTGCAATCTTTAATTGTTCTTTACTTTCAACTTACAGCACACACATGACAATGTTGATAACGGTTTCCGTGCCCGTTCACATTCCTGCACCACGGAGAATACAGATGATGCTATGTCTGTTCGATCAGAGATGATCCAACGCAAAGGTGAGACATGTTGCAGACTGTTGGGGCTCAGGAATTCACAGTGAGGGAATACAGTTAGCAGACTTGGGGTAGTTAAGATATGCAACTCGGTTTTACTCTGCAAGGGCAAGAGTGAATAGTGTAAATTGTAATGAGCAATTGGAGAGCAAACATGAGATTGACTAAAATGGGGATTTATCTCCTTGAAAACCAATAGAAATGTCCTTCTGATTGGTTTCTGTTTTAGAACTTTGTCCCAGAATTGTTCTTTATGCATATACTTTGAGTTTGGATGTGTACATGTAATAGTTGGGCAGAGCTATTAGTGACTTGAAAATGAAGTAAGAATGTCAGCTAAACGTACAATTCCTTGGGATAGGGAGCTACAAACTTGAATCTGATCAAAAAAAAATGTGTAAAGTCCGGGGGTAAAGCATATTCACTGTGAGCTTACCAGTCATTGTTTGAGTTTTAGGAAGGGAGGTAGCTAAAATAGTTAGAGAGAAGGGGAAAGGATTAGCTTGAAGTTCTTCCAAATCTGTATGATGGGACATATATGGGAGAAATGCAGACTTTTTGTGGTGTTAATTGGCTACAAATCAAATCAGTGTAGCAGAGATCACTGAGCAGTGGATATGTTCGCTATCTGTTACAGAATGAAAGCATATTTTTTTTTATCCTCCCCAACAGGCTCTACATTTAGGCCTCATGATTCGCCTTCTGGAAGGTCAGGGAGGAGACGCAAGGAGAAGAGAGCTACTGTAGTTGGAGTCCCACATCACATTGCAGCAGAACTGGGTAAATAATTTGCATGAGTTTTCTACTCCATTTCTCGCCCATCAAACAAAAGATTATGTAGGATGGATGCACTTCTGTAAACCTAACATCTTGACAATGTAGGGTAGGCAAGCAGATCCATAAGTAAGAGCTTACATAGAACATTAAGATGAGCTTCAGCATTTTCATTTGGATGAGGTACCACAATTGTATTATTGTTTTCATCTCTCGTGAAGCATTGCAAATTTGAAATACTGGACTAAAATGATCAAATGTAATTGGAACATAGATTTAGATGTGAAATATATATCTACCATCTGTCTTAACATCGTGCATCCCATAAAAGCTTTATGTATAGCTTCACTTTCAAAGCAGATGGCAGAAAATATTCCACTTTGTAAAGGCAAAGCACCTTCACTTTGCAAAACATTCAAACATCCTTTGTAATGGCTGCCATTCAATTGTTCTGTGAATGATAATAATGGATGCGATATTTCATGGTTTGTATGATTTCACCTGGTTTACCCCAGACTTTATACAGTTTTGCCCTTCTAGAATGGGACCATAGCAAAGACCTTTTTAAATTAAGTTTATGTTACTATGTTATCATGTTTGGTAACTAATATAGCTCCAGTTAAAGAGATAAATATTGCTTGTTAAATGTTGTTTTGAAAGATATGATCTAAATGATATCAATGATCTTCCACATGATGCATTATTTGTTATCACAAATACCGCATGATTTAAAGGTCAGTCTAATAACCGTCTCCTATAGTTTTATGTTTGTAATTTATCAGCATAGTTATGTACTTAAATTAAATGTATATATTAAAATGTTTAAAAACAAAATCAACAATAATAGTCACATTTGAAGTGACCTATGTTTTTAATATGTCCTCTTAATACAACATAATGACTGAGGTTTAGCATACCTGGAGAAATTCTGAATCTAGTGCTTATTCTGTAATATCCTGAACAATCTGTACCTCTTTTCACACTAAATTCTGCAAGAGATTGAAGTTCGCTGCTCGTTTTAGTTTGCCAGCATTGCATATTTATGTAACCAGTTGAGCAACTAATTTGCTCTTATTGGCAGAAGGTTGACACTTTATATTTCTTTATATTTTTGTTACAGTAACTGTAAACATTATTGTTGTGCCAAATTACATTTATAATTTTATTTTTATGTTTACAATCAGGTGTTCAGTCCCGTTCTTCTGGCTCACATCGTGGAATCCATGACTTTTTTGCCAGAGATCACCATGTGACCAAAAATGGATCACCAGCCCCAGTGGTAAATGGTAAACTGGGGGCAGAGGAGGGATTTGTGGTGATTCCCACAGTGGATGGTAAACCTAGTGTAACATTACATGATGGAGCTCGTGTCTCTCTCACAACATTGGAACACACTGAAGCCACTCTTCAGCGACATATTGACAGAGTGTATCAAGATGACAGCTGCATTGGATGGAAGTCTGGACCAAAGATTTCCCCTTTGCTCATTCGTCCAAAATCTCTGGCTGTTCCAGGGATGACTACACATTCCCCCCAGAGTGACCATGTTGGCCCTGTCATGTGCATATCACCCCAGGCAACCTATATGTCCAAGATCATTCCTAATGCAGTTTTACCTCCAATGGTTGATGTGGTTGCCTTGACTAGTTCTAGTGTCCGAACTCTGAGCAGATGCAGCCTGACAACAGCCAGCCCAGCATCTGTTCGTGGATCTCTGCACAGAGGAAGGGGTCAGTCTTTCTCCAGTGAAAATTGGAGCCGCTCCCAGTCCACCGAGACTATTGTTTCAGACTCCTCCACTATTTCCTCACATGGAGGTATCCTTCAGGAAGCCGGTGAGAGGCATGAATCCGGTTTGAGTACAGGTAGGGCATCTCCAGCACCCAGCACAGGCACGCAAGATGGGTCTGATGCTGCCAGCCTATGCAGTGGTCGTTCTTCCATCCGTAGTGTGTCATTGCGGAAAAGTAAGAAAGCCCCACCACCTCCTAAGCGAACCTATTCCCTGCAACAGCAGCGGGAAATGGGGCTTCCACCCAGGCCTGAGAGAAAGCCAGTCAGTAAGCCCAACCATTCACGTGATCCATGGGTATTGCGAACAGAAGGGGTGATGGTAGACATGGATGGAGGCAAACTAAGCTCACCAAGCCGTTCAGATAGAACATTGTCTCCCTCCAGTGGTTACTCTAGTCAAAGTGGAACACCCACACTGCCTGCAAAAACTCTGATAGAGTATCCAGAGTCTCCTGGAACTCGTAGAAAAACACCTCCCAAACCAGAGAGATCTAGTATTGTTAAATCACAAGTAGTTGTGTCAATGACCTCTCCGTCATCTACTGAAAATACTTTTGTTTTTGAAAGCCCCCCAAGAGCTGGCTCTACAATGGGAGACCAAGAAACACAATATGTAATCCCTCCACACCCAAAGGTTCCTGCTCCACTTTGCCCCCCACCCAGCAAGACATTGGGGCTTACAGGAAAGCCTGGTGCCACTCCACCCCCATCTCCACCTCCATCTCATCATCCAACACCACCACCAACACGGAAATCTGAGTCTGATGTGGACATCCCACCTGCTACATTGGAAGAAAATACACAAAGGGATCCTTTGTGGCCTCCACCTCCCCCTGAAGCTCCAGATGAACAGGATTTATCCATGGCTGATTTTCCTCCACCTGAAGATGACATATTCTTGCCCCTTCTGCCATCTTTGGAGACAGAGCCTCATGCAGACCACATATCTGACAATGCTGGCCATGTAGTAGAGGGTGAAAAGAATGAAAAACATGATGTTCTGAAGCCTAATTCTACACCTGTGCTTTATCTTGCCACAGATAGCCCATCTGCTCCAGTACTGCCTTTAACCACAGAGCCCACAGAACCTTCTGTGCCTCCATCCTCAGTGTCTTTGCTGGCCCCTCCTGATAAAGAGCCTTCAAATGAAGTTTTAGGACTCATAACATATAAACCACATTTTGTATCAAGCCCTACGTCAACCACTATACCCACCGGACCACTTAAGCCTGATGTGCCACTCCCTGCTGCTGTGGACCAATCTGAAACCACTGTAAAACAAGCTACTTTGACAGCATTAACTGTAAGCACTGTATCAGCATCTGACTCTGTGACTACTGCTCCACATCCTGTTGCATCTACTGAATCTGCCAATCCACTAGTGCCAGACAATATCAGTCCATGGTCTAAGCCAAGTGTCTTGAGACCAGTCAGTGCCCCAGGGGGAAGTTTTAAGAAGGTGGCAACCCCTAACCAAATTGTAGCTCCTGCACAAAAAGAAGATGCAAATTTGCCCATTGTCACTCCCTCTCTACTTCAGATGGTTCGACTACGTTCTGTACAAGTTAGAGGACCACAAGTACACAGCCCTCAACAGACAACTGGATTCTCTGCTCCCCAGAAACCAATACGCAAGTCTTTATCCCATAGGTCCCCTCCAGGGCTTGACTCTCCATCAGGGGAAGTTCCTGGGAGTTCTTCCCAGATTCCAATAAAACACCCAGACCCTGGGCATTCTCCTTCTGCACACAGATCACCAGCTTCTGCTGCTAGCTTTGTGTTTGCTCGAGCATCAAGGAGGTTTGTGTTTGAGCCTCCCGCATCCCAGGAGGCTGAGGCGTCCCTAAAAAAGGACTTGGTGACTGAACTTAAGTCACATGGGGGACCTCGCAGCCCAGAAGGGAAACCCCCAATTCAGAGGAAGCCTAGCAAGATCCCCCCACCTGTAGCCAGGAAACCATCGATCGGGATGCCACGGACTCCCACCAGCCCTCAATCACCAACAGCAGGGAAAAGTGGCAGTATATCTATACCCTGTGGCCCAGGGACAACTCCACCAGTAAATGGGACTAATGTAGCTGTGACAGTGGCAGGCCATGAGCAGCAGCATGAAAGCCCTGCAGAGAAAGGTAACACTAATGTATGCATACATTTTACAATGTTTTACTGCAATCCTGAATGCAACCTGAAAGACTCAATGCTTTCTCTCTAGAGCACAATCTACTAGACCCATACAGTCTGTACTGTACAAGTAATGACACCTCTCATCTTCACTGGGTTGTTCCTGAACTAACCCTGAATTCTTTCTCTTGTTTCTGTACACAGCTTGCATTCCTACACCATTATTTAATTGTGCATTATCTGTGGGTATACTTTTTTATTGTGAAATTGCTTATCAAAGATTTCTCAATGAGAAGCCTCTGAATTTTTCCTCTGTGCGCACATTCATGTCCTGACACTCACAAGGCTAGTCTGATCTGAGATGGAGCTAAGGAGGTTTGTGAGGGGGAGGCAGGCGCGATCTAGTAGATTGCATCTGCCACTTCTGTTAGCTCGTGGGAAAGACGAGACAGGGGAGATATGATCGAAACATTTAGATATATAAAGGGAATCTACACAGTAAAGGAGTGTATTTAAAAGAAGAAAAACTACCACAACAAGAGGACATAGTCTTAAATTAGAGGGAGAAAGGTTTAAAAATAATATCAGGAAGTATTACTTTACTGAGAGGGTAGTGGATGCATGGAATAGCCTTCCAGCTGTAGTGGTAGAGGTTAACACAGTAAAGGAGTTTAAGCATGTGTGGGATAGGCATAAGGCTATCCTAACTATAAGAAAAGGCCAGGGACTAATGAAAGTATTTAGAAAATTGGGCAGACTAGATGGTCCGAATGGTTCTTATCTGCCGTCACATTCTATGTTTCTGTGTTTCTAACTGAAACAGGAATAAACCGCACAGGCTGTTGTACATCTAACACGTGGGGATTTACTTATTGGGCAGCCTGGTTGTAAATGGATTTCAGTTCAACATACATGTCTTCCTGCAATTCATCAATTAATGGGCACATGGCTGGGTCACTGCACATCTACTGTAAATTCGTCATTCCTGTTTTTCTAAGACAAAAAAGTACGATGCACTACAATGTATCATTCCGGACTCTATCGTTGATTTATATGGACGCTGTAACAGATGGAAAAAGAATGTTCTTCAAATTTTGACCATAGCGATTATGTTCATATTGCAGATTCAGAATTATTAAAGGAACACTATAGTCACCTAAACAACTTTAGTTTAATGAAGCAGTTTTAGTGTATAGATCATGCTTCTCAGATTATACTGCTCAATTCACTGCCATTTAGGAGTCAAATCAATTTGTTTATGCAGCCCTTGTCACACCTACCCTGACTCTAATTGACAGTCTGTGTGAAAAAAAAATGGTTTTCACTTTTAAGCAGTTGTAATATACCTTAAACAATTCTCTGTAAATTTAATTTTAATCACATACAGGAGGCTCTTGCAGGGTTTAGCAAGCTATTAACACTGCAGGTGATAAGAAAATCTAAATTAAACAGAACTTGCAATAAAGGAAGGATACACTTTAGATGACTCTCTTTACAGGAAGGCTGTGCAAGTCACATGCAGGGAGGTGTGCCTAGGGTTCATAAACAAAGTGATTTAACTCCTAAATGGCAGAGAATTGAGCAGTGAGACTGCAGTGACATGATCTATACACCAAAACTGCTTCATTAAGCTAAAGTTGTTTTGGTTACTATAGTTTCCCTTTAAATACCATACTTCCCTACTCTTTTATGACTGTTTATCTTTTAACCAGTAGAGATTCATGTTATTGGGACCAGAAACAATATTTTGAAAAGTGTTTTCTCAGGAACGTCTAATGGTTCCATGACAAACTGATTTCCAAAAATAAAAGTGCAAAATGACTCAATTGACAAATAGCATATTTTCTCTCAAAACTATAATCACCATGCAGCATATAGATTACGCTGGTAAGCGAATGGCTAAGGGATTTAGGACTCCCTAGATTTGGCATTTTCTGGTTATGGTATTTAGGTTTTGGATCAAGAATCCCATTCGACTTAGCTGTGTTAGTATGGTGGGGTGGGGGTTTTGGGTAACTCATTGTCCTTCATATTTTGTAAAAGGGGGATGCTTCTATAGGCTTTGAGGCTTGAAGTTACTTGGCTCATACACAAACAGTTAGGTAGCTAACTAATGCTTTTTTGTCAGTCATCAAATGGTTCTTCTGGCATTTAGAGCAGGTCACATGCAATAGGATTAGCGGAAGATGGCATGCATTGCTAGGGAGGATTTTCATTTTGCAAAGTAACTTCTTTCTTGTCAAGTTTTCTGTGCACTGGCTAGAGCCAGAAATGAATTCTGTTGGCTCTTTTATTGTACTTTACTTCCACAAACAAGAAACCATTAGACTGTAAAAAGATGTTTCACCAGTACACATGTATTATTTATATAGAATTTTTTTATTTTATTTTTTGGTTTACTAATCTATTAATTGCACATCCTCTATAGGTAGAGAATTTAACCTTATACTCATTGCAGGTAGACCAGTTTGAGCTACTAAATGAGAAATCTTCTTCAAGCCTGCAGGCATGGCCTTATCCATCGACTAGGTTACAGAGAGAACTCCCCAGAGAGCAGGTCGTGTTGACTTAGACAATACATGTAAAAAGTTATCATACCATTTCCTTAGACTCATCCATTGTTGTATAAACAAAGTTTCCAACCTGTCTTTATGAATTCTTCAGCATACCTTTTGCCTTGAAACTTCTTGTTCTTAAAGGGGAACTCCAGCCTGTAACTGATACATTATTTTTAGTGCATTATTTAGATATTGTATTAAAATATGCATTAACCACCAGTATAAAGAAATAAGAGAAAATGATTAGGATTTTATGTTTGCTGCATTTTCACACAGGCTTTTATTTACCTCTGAGCTGATCATCGAATTCCATGTTCCAGCAGCTTTCAATGGCACGTTTCAAAGTGCTGACTCTATCCCATAAATCTCAGTACAACAGAAGAGCAGCAGTTTGCAAGTTGCAGTTGTGTTTTCAGCTTTTATTTATGAAGGCTGTAACACGAATTACAACTCCTAAAATCTTTTGCTTTGTCCCCTGGTGACTTGTACACCCGTGGTATTGGAGAACTCTGCAGAGACAGAGTGGGCTTATTTATCTGAGACATCACTAACTATATATAATATAATATTAGTGGTGCCTGCCTATTAATTGCTTGAATAATGAAGCAATATAGAATGACAATGGAATTTTCCATTCTTAGCAAACATCTTCCTAAGACATCCAGCTAAGAATATATATGAGTGAGGAATGTTAATGACCAAGAGTTCATAAGTTTATGGAGCATAACCAACAGCAACAGACCCCCCCCGCCTTAAACATCATTGTGGTGGATGGCATGCATTTCCCATGATTTTGTGTTTGTCTGTCTATTTAATGTAAGTGCCTAATATTGTGCACATGTAGTTTTGTCTCCAAGTAGTCTTTAATTTAGTGTTTGCAAGTTTACTGTTATCAAAATATCTAACCTTCATTTATGTAAAATCGTTATTGCATTTAAAATATTTCTGCCACTGCACCCGTACGTTTTTGACATTCTGCATGGCTGAATCATTCTGCATGGCATGTGTTCTCAATACGCAGGTGACTTTGCCAATACCATGAGATGATCTCAATCGCATTCCTATTTTTTTCCCGCACTTATAAACCAGCCATGTTTGACCCTGAGCTGACATTGACAACTTAGACTGTGCTTTCTTTACACCCATCTGACACCGCACCTACATCCTGTCCTGCATTGTATTCTACCACTCCCACATTGTCCTAATGTCAGTATATAATGCAGCTTCTTGTTTTCTTTCAGCCTGAGCCTGTCATGGGGAATGTTCAGGGACATGCAACCTCAGCGACACCTCTATGATGCTCTGCAGAAGACCCCTGTACTACTGGTCACAAGATTTGCCTTAACCGTGGATAGCCTTGGTATTTATGCATCAACTGGCAATGGATTTTACTCAAATTTTATTTTGCAATCTGTTGTTGGACTGCTGTTCCATGTTAACAAGAACATGGAGCTCCCTCTGGTGTTAAACAAAAATACTGCAGTTACATAGTCAGTAGTATGGATCAACATCTGATGGGAAAACTACAGCATCCTACAGTCTTAGCCACAAACTCATGCGGGACTTTGATGTAAATTTCATTTTTTAAATTTTTAGTATAGTTCTTATTTTTTCAATCTTTGGCTTGAGTATCAGGTAGCAGCACTGCCTTCTCTAGTTGATGCAAAATGAAGTCATCTCACTGATCCTTAAGCCTTGGAAATCTAGAAATGCTGGTGTTAAAGATTAGAAATCTGCACAGAAGAATTGTAGAAATCAGAGCACTTCCCTATATAATGCTGCAGCTTTTTTCTTTTCCCTTCTTTTGAACCCTGCGGCTCTCTAAAATGTAAACCTATTGTCTTGGAAGTTAATGAGACTTTATCAGAGATAAATCTTTGATATTTGAGGATGTAAGCACAGAATTCTATCCCATTTCATTTTAAACAGACTGAGAGGAAGCAGACATCCTCTCAAAGTATACCGACCATTCTACACAACTTGTGTAGCTTAACAATATGCCTTACTGTCATGGATAGGCAGACATAAAATATCACCTTATGAAAGGTCATTTGTTTCTATAGGACAATGACTAGCCTAAAAGCAGGCTGCATATCATGGGGAATACAGCAGACACATAGGAGGTGACAGTGTTGGCAAACACTGGTATACGACAATCGCAAACGTTCACACTGTAGTATCAGATTATACTCAGGTGTGCCTCCTCATTTCATAGTTTAATAAGGCATTTAAATGCCTTTTTGTTTTATTTTTAAAGTGCCTTAATCTGGCAGATTTACCAAGTGCTATAAAGGTGTTATATTGAATACTTAAGCTAGCTGGTGCCTATTAATTGCTTGAATAATTAAGCAATATAGAATGACAATTGCAAACATTCCTAAACCATTCAGCTAAATATATATATATATATGAATGAGGAATGATAATGATTAAGAGTGCATAACCAATAGCAACAGATTTTTCTCTCTCAAGCATCCTTGTAGTGGAAGGCATGCATTTTCCATGATTTATCTTGTGTGAGCCTTGGTCATATTTCATAGCAGATACTTTCCACTGGTACTACGGACAATCTAGCATAACAGGCACATAGGAATGTTATCATAATGACACTACAAAAACTATACAGTTATGAAAGATTTTGAGCATGAATGTTGCCTTAATTTAAGTCCTGGATTTATTATATTTAATTGCACTCCCTTTTTTAAGGATTGAATTTGGTTCTGAATGTCTACTTTAGAGCTTGTGAAAGCACAATTCCTAATTAGAATCTAATTTCTGAAAGGTATAGTTTACTATGAAGTGGACAACACGATGTACATCAACTCTGTCTTTCATGTATTACGTAAGAAAATGCAGGCCTAGTCTAATGCTCTTTTGTTTGTGGACAGTATATGGTGATATACCTTATTTCACCTTGTGAGTGCATGTATGCAGTACGTTTATTGTGCTGTGTTTTGTGGATACTCTCCATTTACGTGCGCAAGCTTTAACTCAGCTGAGAACAGTTTAGTACTAAATTGTAACATATGCAGTTTTTCCTGTTTGTCACAACCTGTTTGGACCATACAGCGAGCAGGGAAATAAGGGTTAAGCTCAGATAATTTACCCTGACTCAGTATTACAAACCACTGTGCCTAAGAGTAAAACAAATTCCTCTCTAACTAAACCTATTGAATTTTTTTTTTTTTTTTTTTAAAGTCGCTTTTATACCAACACCAACTCTTTTAGGTTTGATTATTGGATCATAAGCTGTCACACCAAGGTTTCCCTATTATTTTGCAGTATATTTAGATCAGTCACTTTATATACACGTTTAACATATATACATTTACACACACTGAAACGTGGAGGTCTGTGTGAAGCCGCTACAATATTGTACCCAGGAGTTTGAGCCTTACCTTGACATGTAAAAAGATACACCAGACAATCTATAAATAATAATTGTATTTGGCCTTTATGGACCCAGGATAGCCGCAGGGTTGTGGTATTTTCTTTTTTGGGTACAAAGGGGATATAGGAAACCTCAGCTGCATCTGTAATTGCCTCTGTATGCACAAAGTTAAATATATATCCACATATAGGTATTTATTTACATAAACAGAGCTTTTACCGTATGCAGCCCCCAGAGTAGTGACCAAATTGTGGTTATGCTTCTAGTAGAAGATGTATATTTATCTTATGCTTTGATCTGAGATATATATGAACCAAACAATCCTTTTATAAATGCTGTTACCAAACCAGCTTGTGTCTCATTCATTTGTCTTGGTGTGCGGGAGCAAGGCCCTATGTGTATATACCACGTGGCACAAACAAGCATGTTGTATGATAAACAAAGGTAAATCTTTATTTTATTATTGTGTAACTGGAGATTGTTCCCAGCATTAAGGATTCTGGACAGGCTGTCCTCTATGTCCATCATGTTGGTTGCATGCAGATAAATAAACTGTGAATCATCCATCTGGTTGGTATCCTCCAGTGTTAAGGTAGGTCCTCCATGCAGTGCTTTAAGTCTCAGCTGATGCTCCCTCCTTTCAGCGTCTTGCAGGTCACTGGCCCCAGTTTGGTCCGGATATTTTTCTCTTTCCATTGAGCACACAAATCGTTAGAAATCCTGAAGTCGACCTATAAGTTTGAGACATTCATCATGCATGAGTGCGTGGGAAAGTATGGATCCCAAGAGCTATCATAATAACATGCAGAACCAGGTAACATATGGTTTTAGACATTTACCTGCAGCTTTTCAAACACTTTCTTCTTAGGTTTAAGTTCTGGCTCAGGTTGCCCTTGCTCATGTCCCTCAACAAATACTCGCTCCCCTGGGGCAGACTCTGCAGGAGGGTCCAGTGGTTCCACCTGCTTATTTTCACCTTCCCTGTAAAGGAAATAAAATAATATGAACAGGGAAATAACCACTATCTGTAGAAGGTAAAATATCATGACATGAAAATATTTAGTTCAACAAGGCAAAGTTAAATATTCATGTTTAGCGTTGACAGTATTAATTCTAATAAGTTACACACACACACAAAGCATGGCAACTTATTCCCAACACAAAAAAACCAAACATGCATGCATTACTGGCAAATAAATATTTATATAATTGTGCAGTTGTCCCAAGCAAGTTAATAGAATATATAACCAGATTTTGTTAAAGGACCACTCTAGGCACCCAGACCACTTCAGCTTAATGAAGTGGTCTGGGTGCCAGGTCCAGCTAGGGTTAACCCATTTTTTCATAAACATAGCAGTTTCAGAGAAACTGCTATGTTTATGAATGGGTTAAGCCTTCCCCCTAATCCTCTAATGGCTGTCTCATTGACAGCCACTAGAGGCGCTTGCGTGCTTCTCACTGTGATTTTCACAGTGAGAGCACGCCAGCGTCCATAGGAAAGCATTGTAAATGCTTTCCTATGAGACCGGCTGAATGCGCGCGCAGCTCTTGCCGCGCGTGCGCATTCAGCCGGCGGGGCGGATCGGAGGCGGAGAGAAGGAGGAGAGCTCTCCGCCCAGCGCTGGAAAAAGGTAAGTTTTACCCCTTTCCCCCTTCCAGAGCCGGGCGGGAGGGGGTCCCTGAGGGTGGGGGCACCCTCAGGGCACTATAGTGGTCCTTTAACCTCTGAAAGGGACACTTTACTGCCCAAATACAAAATAAAAACTGTATGGTTAATTATACACCAATGAAAATATCCATGCATTTGATTATGCATTTTTCATTGAGTGTATCTAAAAAGAACAAAAAATGCAGTTCTCATATCTGCAGCAATTGGCAATTGCTGCCTCTTGAGTTTAGCTAAACAACAAAGATGTAACAAGACTGGTTGTCTTGACAGCCGTGGGTGGGTGGGGGTGTAACAAGGTTAATTTATAACAAAGTTTTGCAAAATGAAAGTGTGGAGGGAAAGGGGAGGGATTTGCACTATGCACCCATAGATGATGTAGATAGCAAAGCACTTTCGGTCCTCAAAAAATAAAACTACTATATCTTTTTTTTTTAGGACCGAAAGATCTTTGCTTTGATATCCAAAATGTATGCCTAACCGAATTAAAAAGGACACTATAAGCACCCAGACAACTTCATTTCCTTGAAGTGGTGTAGGTGCAATGTCCCTTTCAGCTTAAAGGACCACTCTAGGCACCCAGACCACTTCAGCTTAATGAAGTGGTCTGGGTGCCAGGTCCTTCTAGGGTTAACCCATTTTTTCATAAGTATAGCAGTTTCAGAGAAACTGCTATAATTATGAATGGGTTAAGCCTTCCCCCTAATCCTCTAGTGGCTGTCTCATTGACAGCCACTAGAGGCGCTTGCGTGCTTCTCACTGTGATTTTCACAGTGAGAGCACGCAAGCGTCCATAGGAAAGCATTGCAAATGCTTTCCTATGCGACGGGCTGAATGCGCGCGCAGCTCTTGCTGCGCGTGCGCATTCAGGGGGCGGGGCGGATCGGAGGCGGAGAGGAGAGCTCTCCGCCCAGCGCTGGAAAAAGGTAAGTTATTACCCCTTTCCCTCTTCCAGAGCCGGGCGGGAGGGGGTCCCTGAGGGTGGGGGCACCATCAGGGCACTATAGTGCCAGGAAAACGAGTGTTTTCCTGGCACTATAGTGGTCCTTTAACCCTGCAATGTTAAACTGCAATAAATGCACTGCAGGGTTAACTCCACCTCTAATGGTGCTTCTGGGTCCCTCCGCTACCCGATGTTGGATGTCCTCACTCCTAATATCTTCTATGTTGCTCTTAGGGAAGCAATGATTACATTATTTTCCTATTGGGAAGCTTGAATGCACGGCCCTAGCTGCACTTGTGCATTAGGTCTCATCATTGCCCTGAAGTTGCGTTAGGAGGAGACATAACCAGCACCAATGGAGTATTGGCGCTGGCAAGTAAATGAAAACAAACATTTTCGCTATTTTTTTTTTTTTAAAGTATAACTACCGCTGGTAGTTAAAGGGACATTATCGTCCCGAGAACCACTACAATGAAATGTAGAGGATCTGGTGGCTATAGCATGTCCCTGCAGAGAAAAGACAGTGTTTACTTTGCTGCCTAGTAACACCTCTATGTGCCATCACTCAGATGGCCACTAGAGGTGCTTTCTATTTCAGTGCTGCATTGAGTATGTCCACTGTAACAAACCACCTCTTTTACAGGTAAGATTTGTCACAGATCCTACTGTAACCACAGCCTTCCAGGGTATACAAAGTCCAGTTTTCCTTTTTTGATTAGAAGACAGGTGCTTTAAATAAACAAAACAAAATTCCTTGCTCTTACTAGACAGAAATAACTAACTCTCTGTAATTGGGTGGCTCTTTTTTTTTTTTTTTTTTTTTGAACGTGCATGAGATTACAATACCTCCTGCATTGCCACAACAGCAAATGCGAGGATTTGCAGTACATTCAATGATACATGTAGGTTGACATTGAGAACTGTTAGAGACAATACTTTGCATCATTTGAGAGAACAGCACGAAATTTTATATTTAAAGTATGGTGACTAGTTAAACATAACACTTGTTTGTCTGGGCAGAGAGTGTCTTAGTGACGAGTCGTGTTAGGCAAGTTAGTAAGAACGATTAAGCCTCACAACACTGGTGGAGGAAAAACATGAGTAACCAAAGTGATGTAGTGGAGTAATATAGTGGCACCTTGTTAAGTTATATATATCCCGCAGGCTAAACAGGCTAGACAGTAAAAGTCTGGAGTGACTAGTGAAGGGAAGTAGCTAAATTTGGTTATATACCTGATGATGGCAATTTAAGCAAGGTAGGAGTATATACCCCTTGCGACTGCATGGTTTTGTTTGGTTATGGTCTGAGCATTTTACGAGTTCTGGCAGTGGGCTCCCTTTTTTTTTTTTTTCGTTTCCCTTTCCCTTTCCTTTCGCACAATTTTAGCTTATAAACAGCATTGAGGTTGTACGTAAATTGGGCAGTGGCATGAGAAATGCACAGTGTTATACGTATAGTTATGCCAATCATCAGCCTGGCTATCCCGTTTTGTCATTAGAATATAGCGCAAAGATAAGTTTAAAGGTAAGCTCAGACAGGTTTAGTAAAATGAGAGTAGTAATCTGGCTATACATGCTGCTTGAAACAATTGAGCTTGTGTTCCTATTACTATTTGTGGTCAGACATTGCAAGCAGTCAATATTGATATAAGATGGCTAGTCCTGTCCCACTGCCTGGCTACGGGCCAGCAGAGCCTATGAGGCATCCAAACAGGGTGGGGGCACGTAATGAGACTAGTACAATTGTACATTAATAGTTACGCAGGAGTTAACTTGAGGTAACCATGAGATATAAGGTATGAACCAGTGATCACAGGCTAAGCTAAGATGTCTGTGCAATATTCAGACGTTTTGCGTGCTAAACATAAATTATAGCATGGCTCAGTGGTGAAATTTAGGTACTCGCCGTAGAACCAAAAAAAACAATTAACATAAACAAGAACAATAATAACCATTGGGTGGCTAGTCGTTTCAACATATGGGTACCGCAAGCATTGTATGCGTGCTCTGAGCGTCCTTGAGAGCTTTGTAGCCGATGCCAAGAGCTTAACTGCCAGAGTCAACCAAAATGCAAGCAGCCCAGCGTTTTATGGCAACTGGTATATGATCTACGTAGTAACAAAACAAAGCAAAAAAAAATAAATAAATAAAATTAAAATAAATAAAGTTCCGCAAAGTTCAGTAGCCATTCTTCAGATGCCTAGAGAAAGTGGGGTTTTGCTTCGGTCTTCGTCAGACCTCCCAGGAGACTTATCCACTTGGAATGCGCCGCTCTGTGTGTCGGTAGTGCGTGGGTGCAGTCCAGGTAATGAGCAGATCAGCCGATGCCCCGGGGTGGGAGGCTGGAGGTGGGTGGATGCTGAAGATTTATGTGGTCACTGAGGTCTGAATGGGGCACTGTTTGCTGGGTCCCAGCTGTGAGTCGGGGTGGCGGGGGCACAAGGTCCCGCTTGTAGGCGTGAGTCCAGTGATGGATCTAGGGTGTGCAGAAGGGCCTCTGCGTCTTGCATACTGTAAATTTGGTGTGTTGTTTCGCCTTGTTGTACCTGGAGCAAGTGTGAGGGCCGCCAGCGATACGGTATGTTGTTGCGCCGGAGTGTGGAGGTGAGAGGCCGCATTGACCTGCGCCACGCCAGAGTTCCACTGGATAGGTCGGCGTAAAAGGTTAGTTTAGCGTTTTCAAATTGTATGGGGGTTTTACCCCGGATGGCTGTGAGAACCGTCGATTTGTCAGTCCCATTTTTAAATGTAAGTATAGTGTCCCTTGTGGCCATGTCTGGGGCCCCAGCGGGCTTTGGGATCCGGAAGAGATCCGTGGGCATGACGGCCCTGGCTTGGTCCTGGGCAGAATGGTGGCAAGCAGGCGTTTGATCGTGTGCGGTAGGTCAGCCTCTGGCAACCCCTCTGGGAGTCCCCTGACCTTAATGTTAAGTCTCCGTCTTGCGTCTTCTTGGGCTGCGAAGCGCCGTTCATACAGCATAGTTTGGTTGCGCAGGTCCCGTATGTCGCTTTGCAGTGAGGCGATAGTGTGCTGCTGTTCTTGGGATGATTCCTCTAGTACAGTGATGCGGCCTGTCAGGCCCTTCAGCTCTCCCCTTAGTGCAGTGACATCCGCGAGGATGTTCTTTTGTAG